TTACCAACAACAATAACAATGATGATAATAATAATAATTAGCGCTCATATTTATTGAGCTCTCAATATGGGCCTAGACACTGCGTGCAGTGCCCTGCATGTGTGAGTTCACTTAATCCTCCTGACAGCCCTGTGAGGCAGATGCTATGATTGTTCCCGTTTAACCGATGGGAAAACCAAGTACCTTTTCTTAAGTCTCTATTACTTTCTATTTTTTTTCCTTTTGAATTTAAGTCTTTTTTGTCTTTTCCTTATGAACAGACTTTTGTTCTTATTTGAGATAAAGCCTATTTTCCAGCATGCTAGTTCTGCCACTTCTATGTTAAGTCAAATGATATGTTTATTAAAAATGATGGCTTTAGACATTATAATCATATTAGAAGAAGCTCTCAGGATTTTCTTTTGTAAGAGGTAAAACAAAGTGGTATAGAAGGAAATCATGGTTTATGTATATTTAAACATTTGCTATTTGAAATAAGAAATCCCCAAACCACAAACAAATTTTAGATTATAGTTTATTTCATTTTAAATATATATACATATATATGCTATGTTGTATTTGAGTTACACAGTATCTTTGGTTGTCCTTAGATTATCGTTCCTAGGGAAATGTAAACAGGAACCATTTTGACCCTCTTCTCCCCTGCCCAAAAACCCTGTAAGTTAAAAATATGTCATTTTTAAGAGGAAAAATAACAGCAGGATTTAAAGAATTGAGCCAAAATCTTTTATTATCTAAATAATAACAAGCTTGCTTTCTTTCTCTACAAATGTACACGCACACAGCTGACTGTATTAGCCTTGCTCTGTGTGCTTGGAGCCATCTTTAGCTTTCCTCCCATTTTAGATTTCCTTTTCTCCTCCTCGGGTTTCTTAGGTAGGTAGATTGGACTTTGTAAATTACGTACACACACATGAACAAGTACTATTGGTGAGAGTGTTTCGTGCTTTTATTTTCCATCAACTTTCCAAATTCCAAGTGTTGTCCTAAAAGAGAAATAGGTGTTTGATTCTTGTACCTAAGATCTCTTTGTACCTGATTTCTCTTTGAACTTCTGGAATAAATACTTGGGGAGCTGTGAAAATCACTCATTAACAAGTTCTAAGGTAGTATGACTGAAACTAGAGAACAGAGAACCTACTGCTTTTATTTACCTGCGAAAGTTCAGTTCTCTGTCAGTGCCAGGGACAGTTCTGGTTCTTTTCCAGTTGCCTACAATGGTCTTCCAAAGCAAACGAACATCTAAGGCTTGGCCAGCGAGGCATGTTGTGAAAGAAGATGATTGAGAAAGATCTTTTGTGCCCTCGCAAAGTAAAATGGTTGCTTGAAGTATCCGTTCCTGTGATTCAGGCAATCCCACCCCCTCTCTTTAAGGACAAAGAAGGATTTTACTGTTACAATGCCAAGAGGATTACCGGAACTCCAGAGCAACAAGTAGCTATTGAGTGTTGGTATCTTTTAGAAAGAAAAATATGAGATGTTCAGGAGGGAAGGGGAGTGGGGAGATGATGGATGGATTGGGTATTTCCTTTGTCAGGTGAGCCCTTTCTTGAACTAGAATCGTGAGCTCCCTGTTGAGGAGAGAGTGACACTGGTGGGGGCTTTCTTCATGAACATTTCTTAACCCTTTGTTCCACTTCATTTGGGATTTGGAGTTGAATCCGAATGTGTTTAAGAGTTTCTCTGAGCATCTTTGCCTTACTTAATGTTCTCTTCTTTTGAGTCTTCTGAAAAAATTGTAAATAATGATAATTATCAGGTTGCTTTGAGTCACGAATTAAAATTCTTGGCGCACTTTACCTTACCAATTTATACTAGGTTTCTAACTCTGAATTAAAATTTTATACCTATCTATATAGTCTTTCTCAAGGCCCCCTTTTACCATACTTCTTGCTGCCAGATATTTTTAAAATGCAAACCTGAAATGGAACTTTAATGGCTACCCCTTAACTTCAAGATTAAGTCAAACGTGCAGTATGAGTGAAAGAAGACCTCTCTACCTCCACATATCCGCTGAACTCCAGGACTCAAGCCCCTCTGAGCTGCCTGAGGTTCCCCAAGGCTTCATGCTCCCGTGTACTGGCTGTGCTTTGACAAGCTGTGTCCTCTGCTTAGAATGGCTCTTCCTCTCTTCTTTGTCTACAGTCCCTACCAACTCTTTCCGTAACTACTACTTAAAAACCTAGCCCAAGGGGCACAGCTTCTGGAAAGTCTTTCCTGATGGCCCCTCCTCTCCAGCCTTGGTCAATTAGATGGCCTTCTTCTGTGATCCTTTGTACCCAGAGCTTCCTTCTATAGAGGCAATTAATGGGCTGAATTGTACTTGAGTTACACACAGTATCCTTGGTTGTCCTTAGATTATCGTTCCTAGGATTACAAACCATTTGTCTGGTTTCTTCTCTTTGCCCTGTGCAAAAACAAAGCTTTAGCCTTTTACTTATGTCCCTACTGCTTGTGCTAGCCCAGTATAGTTACTCAAATTTGTACTGAGTGGATGATTAATGGATGGATATATGGATGAACAAATGGCACAGATTTTTTTTTTTTTTTTGAGGAAGATTAGCCCTGAGCTAACTGCTGCCAATCCTCCTCTTTTTCCTGAGGAAGACTGGCCCTGAGCTAACATCCATGCCCACCTTCCTCTACTTTATATGTGAGATGCCTGCCACAGCATGGCTTGCCAAGTGGTGCCATGTCTGCACCCGGGATCCGAACCGGCGAACCCCTGGCCGCCGAAGCAGAACGTGCACACTTAACCGCTGTGCCACTGGGCCGGCCCCTGGCACAGATTTTTTAAGAGAAAGGAATGTAGTAAGATTCTTAGTGGAACAAGTCTATCACATGACCAGGCTCTTTATAGTTTGCTAAGAGACTGGAAATTCATTCACTAAGCAATTTCAATTAGAGTACCTGTTATGTGCCTCACACTGGCTGGTCTCATAGGATACATCAGTGTACAAAACAAAGACTCTTGCCCTGTGGAGCACACATTCTGCTTATATTGTAACAGGGCAGAGGGAGGGGTGACAAACGTAATAAGTAAATTACGTGATATATATAGTGAGCAACAGCAAGGAGGTCAGGGTGGCTGGAGCCGAGTTCTTGAAGGGAAAAATAGTTGGAGGGGGCTTAGAGAGGTGGGTGGGGGTGGGGATTGTTGCAAACACGGATGGCATAGGGTCTTGTGAGCCACTGAAGGACCTTGGCTTTGATTATAAGAGATGGAGAGCCATTGCAGGAGTTTGAGCATAGATGTGGCATGATCTGTCTTAGGTTTTAAAAGGAACACTCTTGCTGTGTTGACAGTAGACAATGAGGGGCAGTGGTAGAAGCGGGGGCACCCATTAGGAGGCTTTCCAGGAATCTAGGTAAGAGGTGATGGCGGCTTGATGAGGGTCATAGTGGAGGTGAGGAGAAGTGGTTAAATTCCAGATGTGTTTTGAAGGTAGAGCCAACAGATTTTCCTGACAAATTTAAGGTGGGAGTGAGAAAGAGAAATGTTAAGGATAATACCAAAGTTCAGGGCCTGAGGAACGGGAAGGATGGAGTTGCCATCAACTGAGCTGTGGAAATCTGTGAATGAAGTAGGATTTGTCTTTTCTGGGTGTGTGAGAGTCCGGGCATCAGAAGCTCAGTTGGGGATATGTTAAGTAAATGATCCTCATTGGACATTCAAGTAGAGATGCCAAGTAGGCAGTTAGATCTCTCAGTCTGGAGTTCAGGAAAGAGAGCTGGGCTGGAAGTACACAATTGGAAGCCACCTGCCTGTGATCATATTTAAAGTCAGGAATACGTGACATCACTAAGGGTCACGTGAATGTGTGTCAAGAAGAGAAGAATAAAGGGCTGCCCCTGTGGCGTAGTGGTTAAGCTCATGCCCTCCGCTTTGGCGGCCCGGAGTTTGCAGGTTCAAATCCTGGGCGCAGACCTAGCACCATTAGTCAAGCTACACTCTGGTGGCATCCCACCTAAAATAGAAGAAGATTGGCACAGATGTTAGCTCAGGGCCACTCTTCCTCAAGCAAAAAGAGGAAGATTGGCAACAAGTGTTAGCTCAGGTCCAATCTTCCTCACACACACACACACAAAGAATAGAAGAATAAGAACTGAGACTTGGAGCATCCTGGGACATTAAGAGGTCAGGAAAAGGACACTGAGAAGGAGCAACCAGGAGGTAGGAAACCAAGAGAGCGGGTTGTCCTAGAAACTCTGTAAAGAGAATGTGTGAAAGAGGATAGAGCGATCAAGTGTGTCAGTTGCAGTTGATCTGACAAGGAAGGTGAGGACTGACCATTGAGCACTGGATTTAGCAACGTGTAAGTTACAGGTCACCTTGGTAAGAGTCATTTCATTGGAGTGGTGGGCTGGAAGCCTGATTAGAGTAGGTTTAAGAGAGAATAGGATGAGCAGAATTGGAGAGAGCCAGATGGCTGAAGAAAAAGATTGAGGTCTTTTAGATCCTTGAGGATAAAGAGAAACGGAAGTAAGAAGTCATGCCCCTCCCTTTCTTATTGGTAAATTGTTATTAAGGGTTTCATAAGAAATATCCCTTTGCATATATGTGATTATAATTTCGGATAAAACTTAGGCCAAATGAAACAATTTTCTTTTCTTTTTCTTGGCATTATTGCGGCGGGAAAAATCTGTAAGTAAATATTTTTATTCCAAACAGGAGTAAACTCTTCAAGCAAAAGGCTTTCTGATTCACTTCCTTCATGAATTTGTCTGGTTCATTTTATTCCCTTGTCACCTATTTCCCTTGATGGCTTTTTTCCACTTATAAATTGAAATTTAGTTCCACAACTGTGACACAATTATTTCTTTAAGTTTGGCCCAGTTTCTTAACCCAGAGACATTTTCCTCTTCAGTGAGTGCTGTGAATTTTTTTTTAAAGTAGTTCATTGTCCTCTTAGGTTTTATTTAGAGATAGATCTTTCTGTCCTTATTCCTTTTCAAAATTATTGCTGAACGGTGAGAGAGGAGAGAAGCGGTAATGATAAGAAAGCAAGCAAGCTTTCTTTGCCTTGAATTGCTCCGATTTCATTCCAATCATAAAATATGGTCAAGTTCATTTTTGTGGGTTGGGCCATCTGTCCCAGTCCTTTATAGAAGAGGACTGAGGGACATCCAAGCCTTATTTGTACCAAGAGGGAAGAATGCCTTCTCCTGGAACGACTTCTCTCTCCTGATACTGCATTTCTGCCTTCCAAGACTCCAGTCAAGTACTCCTCACTCCGTGGAGCCCCCTCTGCTTCTCCTGGCTCCAGGTAGCGCTGGTTTCCTCTGAGTCACTGCACTGCCTGCTGCTGTAGCCCTTCCTTTGTTGGGGGGCGGGGGGCCGGTGGCGGGATGCAACGTAATGGTTAAAGGCACAGCCTCTGCAGACTGGTAGAACTGCATTCCAACCTAGCCTCCCCACTTCCCAGCTTTGTGATTTTAAGCAAATTGCTTAATCTTTGTGTGCCTTGATCTTTTCACCTGTTAAATGGGGAGTAGTTCCTACCTCAAAAGTATTAAGGATTAGAGGGGATAAGTCACGTAAAATTATTTACTATCAGAAAACTGATAACTTGAAACAATGGAGACCTGAAGAATCTATACACGTAATATATGCAATAATCCCCTATCTTTATGGCAGATTTCCTAAAAGAAAGGGACAATGGCTTTCATATCTTTCCTAATACCAATTCTTATCTGTAGAAAGAGCTCAGCCAGTGTTATTAATGGTGATAGATGGTGCTTGGGAAACGTGGAATGTTTGCTCATGGAAAACGGTGATATGCGTGTCATAATGGATTCATTGTTGCACATTAGTGAGTGTGTTAAGCTTTAGGAAATCTTACAGATGAAAACTCTTAGAATACACAGTCTAGGGAAGTGATGTTGCAATTTTGATGGTATATGATGTCAGTAAGCTTTCCTTTTAGTTTTCCTAACACTCATGAAAATTGCTGGGTTTTTTCCTTCTTATTCACATTTCACATTCCAGAATACAGAAATTTGCTTAAACTTGAACACAGTCCATTAAATTCTGTATATTTAGGAAAGAAACTTAGGTGACATTTACTTTTAAGCAACTTTTCATAAGTCATGTATTTTAATAATGTGAAAAAAAGATTAGATAGAAGGAAAGAACCAAATAGGTTAAAACAAACAAATTACACCTTCTAATGATAAAAGCAATACAGGTTAATTTTAGAAACTTTAGAAAATTCCAATAAGCAAAAAGAAGTACACTTCACTGAGATGCCACTGTTTACACTCCCATGTGTGTTTGTTCCAGGCTTTTTATGTGATTAAATATGCCTATGTAATTTTCACACAAAAATGGCATCATACTGTATGGTTAGCTCCGTCAACTACTTTTTCCATGTAGTATAAAGTGAATGTTTTCAATATCCTTCTGCATCATTTTACCCTCTCTGGCTGTACTGTAGTATAGTTAACCAACTGTTTTTGGCTGTTTAGGGCATTTTTAGTTTTTTCTCATTTACAAACAATGTTCTGATGTATATTTAAACATCTAAAATTTAAAGACGACAAAGTTTGCTTGGACTTGCCAATATAAAATAGCTGGCATGTTAACTTCAATTCAATTGTGCCCATTTTTAAAACATTCTTTTCCAAGTCAGTATTGGGTGATTTATTTGATGGTCATGTTTGGAGCTCCTGTGTGTGACTGAAAAAAAAAAAAGTATAGTTCTCTGAAAATAATGTGAATTTCAGATCTTTTTCATGAATCTAAGACAAACTTTTCCTCATTTGCTCCAAACTAGAGAGTTCTGATAATATCATCAGGAAAATGTTGCTCTGGAGTCTTTATCTCCTAAACTAGACCTGTCTGTAATTCAGCGTTAGTGAGGTCGCCAGTAGCTCAGTTATACTGTTCTGTCGTTTCAGTGGAAGAAAATGTGGAGCATGTGGGTGCGTAGGTGGGTGGTGATGGAGGAGGAGGCCAGAGTTAGATAGATATCTTCCCCTCCTGACTGAAGGTCACCACCGTTTCCATCTTTCATAGCTAACAACTTGAGATCCCACATTTTCTAAGTTAGTCAAGATATCAAATACTGCCTCCAGCTGCCCATTGCAACATCTCAGAAATCTTGACATTAAAATTAGCATATTTCTGTTTCATGCATCTAGAAATGACCCGAAAATCCTTAATAACATCGTGTTTGTCAATCTTAGCGTTATAAAATATGGGCACCAAATTTATAGATCCTAGGAGAAGGCATGATAGAGATGATTTAATCATTCATTTTTGAAATAAATGTCCCATGAATACCTACTAGTGCCAGGCACTGTGCTTAGGGCTGGTGTTACAGACAGGAGTGAGCACGTCCTTAGGCTGCTCTAGGTGGGGTACACACACATACAAATAAAAAAACCAACAGTGCTTTGTCATACTTTATTGCAGTATATAACAGACTTATTTTCCAAGATGCTACAGGAATCCAGAGGAAAGAAAGAACAAAGGTGTTTACAAAAGAAGCAACTCTTTAGCAGGTTGATAAGTGGCTAGGCATTCTCCATGGAGACAAGGGGAATGTGGAAAGTGTCCTGCAATGTGTGCAAGGGACGGAGTATAGTCTAGGAATTTCCAGCAAACAAGAATTGCAATGTTCATTTAAAACAAATAATTAATTCTTGAGTTAAGTTAAAAAAATTTTTTACTAACAATGTTTTCTTATTTCTCTATATTTCTGTTTGATTAAAAAACCTAATTGTTTGTTTATTCCTTTTTAGGAAATTATTCAATCATTTGATCATAGGAGTAAATGAAATGGACGTGGCTTAATAAGGTGTTCTTGTAACTACTTGCTTATCTCGGTGACATACTGTTTTCCTGCCTTGGATTTAATAGCTTAGAAATTATAGCTGCAGATTCACAAAGAGATAGAATAGACAAAGAATATGTAGTTTGAATTATCTGCTAAATTTTTCATGCCCTTAGTGATACTCCAAAGCATGATCAAGATCACTGTACACATCTGTTCGTCTCAGCATTGGAAAAGCCTTGGGCTGTACATTCTGAGATTTCAAACAAAGTAGATTTATAGTGGAAAGGAACCAGAGGTTTAGACTAAATAGATATGTTGTAAGAGAGCCATAATGATCTTATTTAAATATTTTCCACATTAAATAAGGCATGTAGTACTGTTATGTTACCGACATGATTTTTTTTAATAAACGAATTTGCATCCATGATAGCTTTTCAAAATTTCTCCATGGAGTTCTCCATAACAGCCAATGTGAATACTTGAAGAAAATAATCTATTGGAGCCCAGATTAAAATTAAACTTCCTCAAAGTGTAATAATTCCTTCATTAATTTTAAGCTTGTTTCATAAGCAAGGATTTTTTTTTTTTTTAATTTTAGGAAGCCTAATTAACAAAAGTCTGGAGAGTGAGAGGGGTGAATATCTAGTATGGGTGTCCATTGTTCACTTGGTGAATAGTTCGTGAGTACCTACTAAGGTCCACACACTGAGCCTTCATTAACAATTTTACCTCTAGTTTCAAACAGCCATGTTATTCCCCCGGCTTCCTGGAGTTTATATTATAGCCAGGGAAGATAGACCAAAAATAAATAAACAGAGAGAGAGACAAATAATGAAATCATTGCCAGTTACAATGAAGGTTAGGCAGGAAATACACAACGGGCTGAGACAAGCCCCTACTTTGGATGGGGTGGTCGGGGAGAAGCATCACAGGCTGGGAGTAGCATGTGCAGAGTCCTTGAGCAAGAAAGACCTGGTGTGTTTGAGGAATGGACATCAGGCTCTAGGGAGGCTGGAGCCCAGAGAGTTGGGGAAGAACAGTGTAAGATGACAATGAAGGGCAAGTTGGGCAGCGGATCATGCAGCGTCTTACAGGCTGTAGTAAGGAGTTTGTATTTTATTCTAAATGCAGTGGGAAGACATTAAAGGATTTTACACGAGGGACTAAGCTGAACAGATTTCCTTTTTATGATCATTCATGCCTTGTAGAGAATGGAAGCAAGGAGACCAGTTAGGAGGCTGTTGTATTAGTCCAGGCAAAAGATGCTGGTAACGGGGCTGAGAGCGAGCGAGGATGGCGAGGAGAAGGTGGTTATGAGAAATCAGCAGGACTTAAGGAAGGGCATGGTGAGGGGGAGAGAGGGAAATCAAGGATGACTCCTAGTTTACTGACTTGAGTAGGAAGGGGAATGGAGTGATATTGAATGAGATGGGGATGTCAGAAGGGGCAGGAGTAGAAGTGTTTGGCGTCTGTCTATGTCATATTATGGGTCTAACATGCTTGTGAGAAACCCAAGGGGAGATGTCAGCTGTGCATGTGAGTCCAAAGCTAAGGAAAGATCTGGGCTCTGGCTAAAGTTATATTTGAGGTGACCACACTGCCCATCAGTATGTTGGCTTTAATAGATTTTTCAAGAAAGCATTAAGAGTGTAATTGATAACGCTGAAACTCGCTGTGTGTAGTACACACCCTCTCTTCATCAGGGGCTCAATTAGGGCACTTGTCAGTCATGAAGATGAATGAAGTCCTCTTTGGTGACCCTTCTGTTATTCCAAATACCTTACTTAGCATGGCATACAAGGCCTTCCCTGCAGAACCTTCCAGATTCATGCCAGGCCCCTCCCCAACACATACCCCTTTATTTCCACCATGACAAATCACTAGTAATTTCCAGAAGACACCATGTTGTCCCACCTCCATGCCTTTGCAAATGCTGCTCCTGTGCCCTGGAAACACTCATTCCAGCTTTTTCTACCTTGCTCTCTGCAAGTCATTTAAGATACATCTCAGGTATGTTATCACCTTCTGAAATGAGCCTTTCCAGAGTCCAGACCGCGTGCCCCTTCCGTGTGCTCCCCTGAGCAAGCTGTATCCACCCTATCTGAGCACTGATTACACTGTTTTATGACTGCCAGTTGACCCTTCTGTCTCTTAGGCAGTACTGCTCTTAAACCCAGGCCAGAGGGGCCCTGCCCTGCACCATCTAATCTGGGTCTTATACTTGAAAGGGTCCCACTGTGGCCCTCCGGTGGCTGTACCTCTTCTCTATGGAGCAACAAGTCTGAGAAGCCAAGGAGATGTGCCTAGCTTGAGCCCATGTACTCCTTTCTGTGCTACACCCCGTGGAACCAGGCCCCCAAATCCCGAATTCTTTGGCCCAATGACCCTAAGCTTGCTTCGAGAGCCTGGGGCCTCTTTCCCAAGTCCATCCTCCTGAGGGAGAACCGGGCCCCAGTGAATATGCCCTTGGGTGTGAAAGATGATTA